TGTGTTGTGGCAGTGGTCGATTCATGCTGGGCGTTCGTAAGCTTGAACACTGCTTGTGAAATTGACAACCGAGTACGATTGCCTGTGGATGGTTGATTATAAGCGAGTCCTCGTCATAGTCGTCATTGTATTCTTTAAATCGGATGGTCATTTCTTCTTTAATCTTTCTCCATGACTCATTTTGAAATATGTGAGTGAGGTAGAATTTGAAAACCTCACCAGAGATGTAGTCGGTAAAGTTGATGATCATCTCCCGTTCCGACCATGATGCAGTGGTAGCGTGGAGCTCGTACAGGTAGAACCAGTCCTGCACGGGTCCATCGTCAGCTGCTCCGGTGTACTTGGGGATGTCAAGGTCGGCTGATGAATCTGTCATGGTGCTGGTTGTTGTGTCTTCGTTGAAGATGAATCGGTAGTGGATGTATGGTCAGGGCGTCTTGTGGGGAACTGCGTCGATGATGAGCGACTGATGAAGTGGCTGGGAAGTCTTCATCCTGTCGACTCGTGTGACGCTGTGATGAATCGGAGACGTGGCCTGGCTCATACACCATGTTTATTTCTATTGTCACTTAATTCTTCCTCCTCAGCTTCTACCAACCATCACTTCATACGTCACACACACACACACACACACACACACACACACACACATATATATGTATATATATATATATATATATATATATATATATATATATATATATATATATATATATATATATATATTATTTATAAACTTCGAGAATAGGATATTATTTATAAACTTCGAGAATTTATAAACTTCGAGAACACACACACACACACAAGAAGCATACGACCCGAGCGGGTCGTATGCTTCTTGTGTGTGTGTGTGTGTGTGTGGCCCGATGCCACGGGCCAGCCGCCGAACCACGTGAACTTAAACTCGATCCATGTGTGAGATGCGAGTAAGCGGCAACATGTTCCACATTTTTCCGTTTTTCTTGGTCGCCTCCGCTGGCGGCGCGTCTTACCTATACGCAGCAACAATGCCAGAATTACCCGCTCGTTTCCGGCGGCTCTCCGTCGCTCCTTTCTAGTTCCTCTCCTTCTTCTGCTTCTTGTTGTCTGTTGCTACCTCGTTCGCCCGCTTGTCTTTTTCTCTCTCTCTTTTTTTTGAGGGTCTTTAAACTGTGAGGGTGACCCTCTGCTACGGGAACTTGTATCATTTCACTTACATCCTCCGAAGAAGGCTGGTCCACCAGCCGAAACTGTTAGGATTAAATAAATATTTTATTGTTTTGTTTCCTATACTGCACTATTCTCGAAGTTTATAACTTTTATTACGGTAGCCGGAAGAAACTCTGATCATCTATTTCATCCATATATATATATATATATATATATATATATATATATATATATATATATATATATATATATATATATATATATATATATATATATATATATATATATATATATATATATATATATATATATATTTACGGTGAGGCTGATATCTTGCACGAAAGTTCTTGGAGTTAAATTTGCATCGCGATCGCACTCGATCACGCCTGTAAGCTACGCGAATGCTCGCAAACACGACGCCGCTGCTGCCTCTGACAAAAAAAAAAAAAAAATGGCTGCCTACCCAGAGTCCATAGCGGAGTCACCGTTCATGCAAGCTCCCTATAGGAGAATGTGCTTGTATTCAGAGAATAGTCACTATACGCAGCTCAAGTTAATAGATTAATCAGTGAAGCATTGCATCAGTCACTCGTAAAATTGTTTGACCACCATGTTTATTTGTAGATGTCATTTGCTGTCGTCGACTTCTTTGACGCGAAGGAAGCCGAAGTTGTACCAGCGTCGTGGTTTGACGACAGTACACGCAGCTGGCCTGGCGCCAAACCTTATAGAAATGTCCAGCTGGCAAAAGCTTTGGCCAAGCCTTCGGCAGCGTGGGCGATATGTCCGGCCAAAGTGAAAGCAAGGGGTGGGAGCGGGCTGGTTGGTATTCTTGTCTAAAACAGCTGAAGCGCTAAAAGGTAACAACGGTGTAAGGAAACAACGAGGACAAGCGCTAGCTTCCAATTAAAATTTTATTGCAAAGCAGAAATGAATGAATGCACAAAGATAAAGGAAAAAAAACAAAGCAGCAGTGAACTTACGAAGAAAAATCTTGTGCGGCGAGTTAAAGTGATCTAGTTATTTTTCTGTCGGTGCAACGGATTGCTTGCTGGTGCAGCTTCGATTTTCTGTCGCCGCCGCCTCAATGATGAGCCTTAAACTCTCGTTAAAGTGATTAGCCAGCACAGTTGTTTTATCAAACACCGGCTTGCACTTGCATTCTGTGCAATGAGTCGCCAGGAAACCATCAGCTTCCTCTTTTATTTTCTGGTTATGTTAAGGCAATCGCACATTGAGTCATCTGCCTGACTGTCGGACGTAACTTAGACCGTAGGTGCAGAATACTTGATCATATACTGCCTTCTTCCCACATTGAACAAACTTATTCCAATGCTTATTTTACACTCGCTAGGAGGCCTTCTTACAGGATTAGTTCTTGCACATAACTGCGACAGCTTATTCGGCGCAGAAAATACCACCGAGATCCCTGCCTTTGACCAATCTTCTTTAAATTGTCTGAAATTTCATGCAAGTGTGGGATCACAGCCACTTTCTTACTTATGGAAGCCTGAGAAACAGTACTCGTGGCACTGACTTTTGAGTCTTTTCAGAGATTTTATGATACGTACACCAGTAAGTGGCTTGGATACCCAACTGCCCTCAAACTGGCTATCTGCCCTCTGAAAGTTTTCTGAATTGAATGATGGCATGACTTCGAGAGTGTGTTGTGCAAACAAGCACGAACAATACTGCGCTTGACCATGCAGCTTGTCATGTGCCGAGGCGAAACGCAACAATGGCTTTTTAGAAGGCAGTGGCGCGCTAGGCATTGCAATCAATACCTCTAATGCACTACTCCACCAGACAGGAGTCATAAATACCTTATGTGAAATCCGTGAAGCCCATTTAACAGCTCAATACGCAAGGCTCGCGACCAGTAGCGCAGGTCGCCACATTTTATCGTCTACTCGAATTAACTTCACCTCACTCACCAATGCTAAATACAACATTCCCCAAAACATACACAAACAATTACTCATACCGCCCCTTCCTAAAAACATGCATCCAACATATCATACTAAGCGCCGAATCCATAGAGCAAAAGCTCTTCAGAAAAAAAAAAAATTGCCCGCAGCTTCCCTCGGGGGAACACTGAGGAGGATGCGGACCATATAATTGGTTAACGGGGTGTTAAAGTGCGACTTACTTGGGTCGATGGCTAAATTGGTTAACATGGTTGTGAAATGGGGTGTTAAATTGCGACTTACTTGGGTCGATGGCTAAATTGGTTAACGTGGTTGTAGGAGGGGGTGTTAAATGAGTGAACACGTACACACGTATGCGAAAGGGCGGCGCTGGTCGAAGGGACGTCGATCATTGTGTTTGTGGATTCGTTGGAATTCATTTCACCGCGACCTTGGACGTCGACGCGCCGTACAAACCAACCGACGAGCGGCAACTGAGCGAGGGAGCGCTGGCCTTGAGTATATATACAGCACGACGGCGCATGCACTGTCAGCTGTTGAATGTTCTCGAAGCGCGACGCCACATGCGCGTCCACTGGAGAATCAGGAGAATTGTAGATGTCGAACGCGGTGTGTAGAGGAGGAAGGGTGCACAGATGGTGGAGGAGTGAAGCGCGCGCGGTGTGTAGAGGAGGAAGGGATGCACAGATGGTGGAAGAGTGGGCGACGGCGCGACGGCGCATGCGCGCGCGTGAGCTGTCGAATGTTCGAGAAGCGGCGGTGCGGACGGCGCACTACAAGGCGCGAGTATAAGATGCTCCGCATCTAAAATGCATGGAGCCAATGACGTGCTCTATGTCGATGCGGCAGAATACCCATCCTCCTCATCCTATGCCCTCTCTGCTGTCGACTATAACGGCAAGGCGCTCACAACGGCATCCGTCACTGTCAGCTCTTCGGAGAAGGCTGAGGAGGCTGCCATCGCTTTAGGTCTATCCATCCCCAATATCACTATGATTGTAAGTGACTCCAAAACTGCCATACGCAACTTCAGCGCAGGTTGCATCTCATCAACTGCCCTTTCAATTCTTAAGAAACACCCTCCCACGCAAGACGTTGCTCTCATATGGACGACCGCGCATGCGGGGTTGAGTGGCAATGAGGCGGCTCATACCTGTGCTCGAGGAATGACCGGCAGAGCGCAGGCCTCTGATGGCGCCTTAGACCACGCGGCCTTTTTCAGCGCGAAAGATCGTCTTTTGACCTTCCACGATATAACAAATCACTACCGCCTAACAGCGCACTATATACCCCCCCCCCCCCCCCCCTTACATCATAGAGCTTCGCGCTACCATGAAATACTATGGCGCCAGTTACAGACCCGTACGTTTCCTACCCCATCTTTTCGCCATCTTATACAGCCTTCGATATACCCCTCCCCTTTGTGCATTTTCTGTCAACAAAGAGCTAACCTAGACCATATCATGTGGGGGTGTACTCGAAACCCACCACCCAATTCTCTTCACATTAATAGTAAGGAGCAGTGGGAGGATGCTATGTGCAGCTCGGCGCCCGAGGTCCAGGACTAGATCTTGGATTGGGCCAAGAGGGTAGCGGAGACCTACGCTGAGTAGGCTCCTCTGACACTCCACCACCGCACCTTTCCCTCTTTGGATGAATAAAGTTTTTCTCCTCCTCCTCCTTTTAGAAGGCAGTGTCTTCTGCGCCGCGCGGTGCAACAGCCAGCCCCATACAGAAGTGGCTTCTGCGCCGCACGAAAGTGACATCACTTTAAAATTATTATCTAAAGCTATTTAAATGTATAAATTATTAATGTGTAATGTGTTAAACCTACAACAATTTTACTACGCAGGTGTTTAAAGAGTTACTCAGCTTATATTTGTTAATTAAACACTTATCATAAGTATTTTAAGTACAGGGGGCGCCATGGGCGCTGCGGCCATAGCTGCGGCTGCGAAAGGTAAACAGTTGGTGGTAAAAACTCCGACAAAACTGTGGCCATGACCTAGGCCGCCCCCAAGGCGGACTAAAGACCTTGTCAAACTGGTAGGTGTTCTGTGACCTTGTGTCGTTGCTGCTTCATGTGATTGCTGGATGCCCAGTTGAACCTGAAGGTTGGAGCTAGCGCGGCCATCCACCGCGCCGCAGCTTCATCTGAGTGTGTACGCCATAAAGTTTCTCAGTATGAAGTGTAGATTATTGTTGTTGGACATACTGCATTTTCTAGATTGCAATGCTAAACATGGTGTTGTCAGAGGTGAAATTGTTCTTTCTGCCGATTTTTTTTTGGTCGCGAAGGGCAAGGTCGACGATGAAATAAATGCTTTTGCACAGTTCACGTGTGACTGACCAGACGCACATGCATGAAACCCCAGTGCGTCTGCGAAGTGTTCTTACGAAGGATGGAAAGAACTTTATTGTAGTGTTCTTACGAAGCTTGTGATCTCCGAAAGCCAAAGCTACTGCATTGCCGGCTGTTTTGTTAAGTGCGAACTCGTACGGCCGTTCTCATCCATTGCTACGTAAACGATCCCGTGCTGTCACAGGCCGTGCGTGTTATTTAGCGAGGCAGACAAGCTGTTTTGTAGTTGGATGGGCCAACGCCGTCGGCACTTTCTTTTTAGCATCGTTTATCAAGTGCTGATCGCCGATACCATTGTGGTGGCACGTCAATATTTTGAAGCGGCCTGCCGGTTACCTCGTCAGGTGATGGTACCCTGAGCGGCATTAAAAAGTTTCCCGAGACTATGTTGCAGTGTGCCTTTCTGTCATCAAAACTTTGATAAACCGTGGAAATCAACAATCCTGATGTGTGTGTGAGCGGCATAAAAAAGTTTCCCGAGACTATGTTGCAGTGTGCCTTTCTGTCATCAAAACTTTGATAAACCTTGGAAATCAACATTCCTGACATGTGGGCTGGAGAAAGCAATGCAGCCAGCTGCATTTGAGTTTTTCGTGTCCTTTCGCGTCTCACCGGCTAAGAGCATTTATTCGCATAATGCTTTATCATAATAAATATAGCCAATTCTGTGAGAGCCATCAAACATCCAATATTAAAGGGCCTGAGAATCGGACCACCATCAGCAGCAAGTCAGGCTGACTGAAGGCCGATAAGGAGGCGCAAATGTTAAAACGATACATGTGTAAACAAAAGAAAAAGTAACAAGGCTCGAACCACCGATCTCACCAGTTCTTGTTGTGCCGCTTTAATTCTTGCTGCTTTGCAATAAAATTTTAGTTGAAAGTTAGCGCTTGTCCTCATTGTTTGCTTAGACCGCTGTTACCTTTTAGCGCTTCAGCTGTTTAAGGCAGCGAAAGGCCCTTTGTGCAAGTTAGATTTTGACTATATTGACTGTGCATAAACACTGCGTTTGTCACACATGTGTGTTTGTGACCAGTTTTGAACAGTGATGTGTATTTTTGTTTTTTTCAATTTAATGTCTCTAATAGTATTTTTACTGGCACAGTTTGTAGTATGCATGTTTAAATGGGAAGAGGTCGCGCTCAGGGCTGCACCTGAGTTTATAGGCCACGTCTAATCATTCGCGTAGCCCCAATGGCGTGCATTTCTTGCGTTTTCTTTGTTTGTCACCGCATCAAGTGTTTTGGACGTCAAAAGCGCTTTTGGTAATACATAGAACATAACAGAAATTATTGTGCAAGGTATGTCTGCGACAGGCTGCGGGAATGACGGCAATGCTAAGAGAAAAGGTTTGCCACATAGGTTGAATTATTCGAACTTTAACCTGGCCGGTTCGCGGCTGTTTGTTTTTCTGTGCTAGTTCAGACAGCGCTTCTTACAGCCATAAGAGTTGCATCCGCATCTCAAGAAAAGCTCTTCATAGGGGGTTGCCCAAGCTTGCACGTGGCCTATATCAATCTTCGTGTTGTATGTAGACGTGAACCATGCAGTGCAGAGCCTGACACTCTGGCGTTCTAGACCAACATGTTGCCCTCTGTACGAGCTGCAAGCAGTGCTGTAGATGTAGCTGAAAGCTGAAGTATAATTTCAGCTGCTGTATTTCTCTGCCAGTTTTGCACTGCTCTTGCATGTAGAAAGACCAGCAGTTGCAGCAACTGTAAATGTACAAGGGTAGCTTGGGGCTTAGTTATTTCTAATTAATTTTGAACTAGCATAAAGGACATGGACAAGAGAGGCACAGCACTGTGTTTGTGGACTCTCTTGTCTATGTCTTGCACGCAGTGTCTGGATTAATTGTGAAAGTTTAATCTATAACTTACCGTCAAGCTCCAAAGTTTCTTAATGTTCAAATTGCTCATTAATAGGAAGGAAGGACAGGGAGGTTAGCCAGTTCTCAGACCGGCTGGCTGCCCTGTATTAATAGATTAAACATTACGGTAAAAGAGACTACTGATTCGTGCATTGTGAATGCATAATGTAATCAATCAGGACTGTATTGATGTACGCATAAATGTGTACACATGAAACAATCTGCGTGCTTTTCACCCTTTAGCATATGCATTTATATATATATGTCTGGTAACCATTACAGCCATAGAACCCAATTTCTTCATCATTATGCTCTGATGGTGTGTTTCATTGCTTTCTAACTGCATGGTTAGAATGTTGCACTCATTACTCATTATTGACGCTCATTATTGGAACTGCTGTCATTGCATTTGTAAGGCTATTCAGGCAATTTTTCAAAGTACAGATTACACCCTGCAAACATGCTTCATACACTGCTCGTTGAGCATCAATTTTACGTTAGCTGTGTCAACAGTGGTGTATATACACATGCATATATTTGCAGGCTACCAGTGCCATGACTGACTGACCAATGCCATCACCATGACAGATCCTCCAAGACCTTTGCTGAATTTACTGCAATAAATTTTACTAAAGGTGATCATATTGAGTTAACAGTCTCATTATTTTGTAGCATATGGTGCAATTGCATGCACGTCTGTCCGCCTCAGTAGAACTGTGGCTAAAGCACAACTGCTGACTCAAAGGACACGGCTTCAATGCCAGCCGTGGCCGTCGCATTTCGATAGAGGCGTAATGGTAGAGGTACGTGTACTGTGCAATGTCGGTGCATGTTAAAGTATACCACATGGTTAAAATATCCGGAGCCCTCCACTACGGTGTTTCTCATTCGTATTGTGGTTTTGGGACGTAAAACCCCAGATAGTATGCATATGTGCGTCGCTGCACCTAAAAATAAGTGTCATTTGATATATATCAATATTATCTGTAGAACTGCTATGGACAATCTATGGATGTTGACTCTCTTCAATATGGACATCCTCTAATTATTGTATTAATATTGCCAATATTGTATCAATACTGTGTGTGGAACTGGCATGGACATTATATGCAGGGCCACTCTTTGAAATATGGACATCCTCTAGATAGTGTATAAATATTACTTTTGTAGACATCCATTCAAGATAAAAATATTATATGGTTGATATTTATTTGATGTGTATTGGACATTACATGGTTGGCTAAGAGAACATCACGAAAAGAGAGCAAGCGCTCCTCGGCCTGTGGAGGGGGCACCATTTCTCCTGCTTGGAATGTGAGACCTCAAGCGTTGACAAGGAGGCCGGCATGTACAGGCGTCCAGGCGAGGGTTGTGGAACACTGAGGCTGCCAGGAGCATGCAGTAAGCGAGTAGTGGTATGGGATATTAAGCCATTGGCATAGTTCAGAATAGCTCATTTAAAGTCGCTTATGATTGTGGTGGTGGGTGCAGAGATAAGAGCAAGCACGATAGCGTCCCCTGTGGAGGAATTGCTGACAATTGAGCATGAAGTTAGAATATTTGCCTGATTGTCAGCTACTGCATGGGCCATGCAGGTTCCTGACGCATATTCAGCTGCGTCCACGTAGACCACATCATGGTCCTCGGCACATGTCTGTGGAGCGCCCAAGAGTTTGCCTTTCTGTGTTTCTCGTTTTGCACAGGATGCATGTTTTTCGGGATGGGGGCTACGTTCAGGTGAGAGTAGAGGTTAGAAGAAAGAGGGACCCCCCTCGGGTGAGTGTGTATTTGGGGCTAAGTTTAACTGGGACGAGAGAGTGCAAGCAGCCACTGAATTAGACAGGTGACATTTTTGTGCCATGAAGGTGGCTTCAGCGAGTTCCTCAAACGTATTATGTACACCAAGTTTGAAGAGTCTGTCATTGGATGTGCTGGAGGGAAGGCGTAGAGCCATTTCTGTGCAACTCTGTAGAAGCGTGTTAACTGGTCTCGCTCCTTTTGTTGGAGAAATAGATAAGGGAGGGCATATGAGGTGCAGCTTATGACTTAAGCCTGGGTGAGGCGAAGCGTGTATCACTCGTGAAGACCAGCCCGACGGTTCGCTATGCGATGAATCAGTCGAGTGGTCTGCTGAGCATGTGTTCGGAGAGTCCTGATGACTTCTCCATGTGCGCCGCGTGAGTAGAGAACTAGCCCTAGCTAGCACCCGAATTTTTGAGACAAGTGGGATGAGATGGGCACCTAGCGTGATAGATATGGGGAATGGCTGAAGTATGTTGGTTCGGTTGGTAAAGAAAGAGCTCTGATTTCGAAGGGGAGCAGGTAAGGCCACGTTCACGAATATATGTGTCGATGGTGGTTAGTGCCAATTGTAAGTGTTCTTCTATTTCGGCGTCACCGCCACTGTTTGGCCAAACGGTAATGTCGTCGGCATACAAGCTGGAGTGGATGTTGAGGATCTGACCCAGCTGTTGGGGCAGATAAATAGGCGAGAGTACTGCTCTATGAGGCATACCACGTGCGTGAAGCGGGATGCCTGGCATGCTAGTGATCACCAAAGGTAAGTGTTGCTGTGCGTTGGCTGAGGAAGTCTCGGATGTAGTGGTACGTCTTTGCGCCGACTCCCAGGGTTATAGGGTTCTCTAGGATAGCTGAGTGTGTAACGTTGTCAAATGCCTTTGTGAGATCTGCTTCTAAGATAGCTCTCTGGTATTGCAGGTTTGAGAGTTGAGAATGTGATGTTTAAGTTGTAGGAAATTGTCCTGTGTAGAAAGCCCAGGATGAAATCCTAATATGCAAATAGGCATTCTAGCATTCTTGGTACTGTCAAAGCCTGGTTTGGAGTACATATATGCTCCATACAAGTTTGCCGACAGAAGTGAGGGATATGGGCCTGAGGTTAAACGTAAGGAGAAGTTTCCCAAGAGTGATTTCATTCGAATTCTTCCTACCCGCTGAAGGTCCTGACGCGTGCTGATGAAACTTCTTTCCCCGTACCATCCTTCCCTGTGTATGCAGCTTTCAGCGGCGCACAACAAACCGGAGGCACCGGAGCTCATTCATTCAGGAGCACAGATGGTGCCCTAACACACTTGCACCAAGTTTGTAGATTTGAGAGGCTTCAATATTTTCGTGCTGCTTCTGTATATTAGCCCTTCCAAATACCAAAATATTGCTGGAAAAAGGGTCGCAACCGCATGCCTTGTCTCGGTTTCTTCCACTTCATTTGGTGCTACAGGTATTCAACCCTAATGAAGGTGTTCTCATGTTGTTGTGAATTGACAGTTTCTTTCTCAACGCGGCTAGCTAAGAGTGGATCGAAATATCTCTTCGAAATGTCGAATTTGTGGGGCACTTCTCTGGACTATGCTAGACTGGCAGAGGCGCAAACACGGACACAAGAGCGAGAAATCAAGACACGACTAACCGCGACCGTGCCAGCACGACCATTTTTTTACCAACTAGATCAGGTGCAACCTTTTTCCTTCTTTTTTGTTACTTCCTTTGCCCATGGACATTGTTTTTGGCGGCATTTAGAGCCAATCAGAAAGGCTGTAACGCGGCAAGTTTATCAAGTACGTCCACTTAATTCAATCTTGCCGCAATGTTTTATTGTTCTGCAAATGCAATTACAAAGTAATTTAATGCTTACATTTGTGTAGAACTTCTATCGTTTTTGCAAAAATTTTTGTAGACTTCACTTTATTTCCTTAAAGACCCTCAAGGGGGTATTACATAAGGGGTGGGTTAACAAATAAAGTTCTGTTATTTTTTTTTATTGACACGGGTTTTCATTGCGAAAGACGTGCAGACAGTTGGTCGAAAAATGTTGATGGACAGGAAATGGCCAAGACGTCGTGGGGAAGATCATTCTAGTAGTTTGCAGTCCGTACAAAAAAGGACATAGAAAAAGTGGTCGTTCTAATGCGTGGATGGGCAACTTGAAGTGGATGTTTAGTGCGGTGAGATATGCCGGCTGGTGGAACAATGTAGGGATGACGGAATGGGCTGTGAAAAATTTTCTGAAACAGGCAGAGCCTGGAAATGCGATGGTGAATGTATGTCAAGGTTTAAAAGAGCAGATTCTTTTTTGAGGGATGATACACTAATATTATACGAGTACGAAGAATGAGTGAACCTAGTAGCACGGTTTTGAACTGCCTCAAGTGAGTCGATGAGATATGCTTGGTGTGGGTTCCAGATTGCAGAGGCATATTCCAATTTAGAGTGAATAAGGGATTTGTAGGCCTGTAACTTGACATCCTGCGGGGCGTGCCGAAGGTGACGTTTCAGAAAACCTAGGGATTTGTTTGCAGATGATATAATGTTGGTAACATGCAGGCGCCAGTTAAGATCATTGCACAGGGTGACACCGAGATACTTATATGATTGCACGTGTTCGAGGGCGACGTTAGCGATTGAGTAAGGGACCAAAGAGGGGTTGCTACGGCGGTGGAAAGAGACTGTTTTACATTTGTTAGGGTTAAATTTCATGAGCCAGCTTTCACACCAGTCCTGCACGTGGTTAAGGTCATCCTGAATAGCGGATTGATCTGTCGGGTTAGTGATTGAGTGATAAATTACACAGTCGTCAGCAAACAAACGGATACTGGAGGAGACATGCGAAGCTAAATCATTAATATAAATTAAGAAGAGAAGGGGACCAAGAACGGAGCCTTGGGGGACACCTGATGTTACTGGAAGGGGGTTAGAGGGCACGTCATCAATTGAAACAAACTGGGAGCGGTTCGTTAGAAATTCCTCAATCCAAGCTAAAATATCGGGATGTATATTTAAAGATCTAAGTTTCATTAGCAGTCGCTTATGAGGTACCTTGTCGAACGCTTTCGAGAAATCCAGAAATATTACGTCAGTCAGCAGGTTAGTATCTAGACTTGTGTGCAGATCGTGGACAAAAAGCGCTAATTGGGTTTCGCAAGAGTAACCCCTACGGAACCCGTGCTGGGCAGGATGGAAGAAGTTATTGGCATCAAGAAAGTCAATGATTTGGGTGTAGATGACTCTAACAAGCGTACCCTGTAAAATCATGGAACACGTCCATGATTTTACAGGGTACGCTCGTTAGAGAGATTGGGCGATAATTTAGGGGGCTGTCTTTGTTACCTGATTTGAAGACCGGAGTGACCTTCCCCACCTTCCAGTCGTCTGGTAAGATGCCTGTGCGAAGTGACTGTGAGAATAATAATGACAAAATCACCGAAGAAATAGATTTCGTGTTTTTAAGAATTTTAGCATTGATTTCGTCCACACCTGCTGAGGAAGACAGTTTCAATTTTTCGATAACAGACAATACACCCGATGGAATAAATGTGATAGGCGACATAAAAGACTGGATACAATTCGGTAATGCAGGAAACAGTATGTGGGTTTCGTTGGTAAAAACAGATGAAAAGGCAGCATTGAAAAGTTCAACGACGTCAGTGGTACTCATATCATCGCCAGCTTCATTTTTCAATGTAACCGTGTGGGATTCCTGGGGGTTAATGATTTTCCGAAATTTCCTGGGATTATTGGTTAGAATCTTGGGTAAATCTGTGTGAAAAAACGTGTGTTTTGCGCTGCGTATGGCGAGAAAATACGCTTTTTCGGCCGCGTAGTATTTATCCCAGTTCTGAGCTATAGGTTTTATCTCGGCAGCCCGAAATAATCGTTTCTTCTTATTACATAGTTTTTTCAGAGTTTTTGTGAACCATGGTTTCTGACAAGATGCGCGAAATGTGGTTTTCGGTATGTACTTTGTTGCCAATTGCCATATTTTGTTTTTGAAAATCGTCCAGTTGTCCTTTACTGATCTGTTCCAAAAGTCTGCTTCGAAGTCCGGAAAAAAATTTTGAAGTTCGTTATTTATTGCCTCGTAGTTTCCTTTAAAGTTTAAATGAAGGCGTCTTAGAGTCTTCTAAATGCAACAGACTTAGTTCCAATTAGTTCTCGGATTGTCACATTTCTGCGCGTAACAACTATTTGTGGATGATGGGGATATGTCTAAAGCTTTATGGAAGAAACTTGATGGAAGAGACTTAATAGAAGAAACTTTGTGCTCGTGGTGCAGGGGGCGCTGTTAATCGCATTGTTGATCCGAAAGCTTAGCGCGGACGGCGCCTCATCTTCCAGTGTTCAAAATGGCGGATGAGCAGGTGAGTGTCGTACTCGGTCTTTGTACGCCTGCGTTTAATTGCCGCAGTAATTCCTCTGTAGTCAGGTTGTGACAGACGTTTCCGAGGCCGGAAATGGTCTTTTACACGTCGCACTAAGCTGAACATTTTTAGGCACTTCGCGTCTGCTTTGTTCTGAGAAAAACATTGAGAGATCGCATCACGGTCCAAGATCGCGAAACGTCGTTTGCTTTTTTATCAGAAGTGAAAAGAAAGTTGCCCGCATCACCGTGTGGAATTGACACATACGAAGCAGTTGCGGTGGCCAGGAATGTATTAGTTGACTTGTCTTTGCAGCTAGAGAAATTTTGGTGCTTAAACTGTGAGGAAACGCCGATTACCAAGAACGTCTTCAATGTTTACCGTACTTCACTGTCAGTCAGCCCGCTCCGCAGTGTAAGGCCCCTTTTTGAATGCGTGTGGGGCTTGTGCGTAGGCATGCATTAGCGGCTCACGAGAGAAGTACCCGATTTTTAGCGATGTTAATGTATCCGAGATTTATGTGTTGGCCGAGTGGCGCTTGTGGGGTGTGAGAAAATAACCAAGGCCGGTAAATTCTGACAATTTTTTTTAGGAGCTGGCGCGAGTAGAGGCTCTCTGCCAGCAGATTTACCAAGGCGCTGATGCTGCTGAGAGAGTCCAGGCGGAAAATCAGCTGGCCGAGTTCTGTTGTGGCACCTCGCCCGACTGCCTTCAGCGATGCAGGCTGCTCCTGGACAGATCACAGGTATCGGACTGTTTGCAAACTACTGTGCATCCCTGACCGTTGACAGTTTACTACCATATTTCTCGACTGCAACGCGTTCATTCTTTTCTATATATTTTTCTTCGTTGTGCTAATATGTCAGGTATTACCTCTTGTGTTGCGGCGCAAGGGCTTGCATTCACGTCTTTACGATGTATGTATGCCTTCTTGTGCTGCAGGAGCAGTTTCGGGGCAATGTTGTAGCAGCAGCTTGAGATAATGTATGGTTCTTGTAATGATAGCTTCATTCACTCCACTGAACGAGTTTGTGGCAGTACATTGAAGATTCAGATAGCAAGAGGACCCTAAGAAAGCCACTAGTGTTGACATTTTAACTAAGATGTATTGTTCTGTCCAAAATAGCATTCATTTTATCAGTAATAGACATCTAAATACCAGGCTGTGCGAATATTTGACATGATAATTAAGGCATGCATAAATCAATTAATGGTGTTCTGCAGGCACGTGTAAGTGATCTTTCTGTTGTGCTTTCACCCACATAGCTATGTGTTCTATTGCCTTAGAATAATATCAGCTCGACAACCCTGAACAAAGCGTTTGCAAGATTAGTGGTAAAAAAAAAAAGTGCAAACTAGTCTTCATATTTTCTCTGCTGATTCTGAAAGAATGGCATGTTTGCAGTACCTCGTGATCTGATGCAGATGGGACAGGGTAATTCATTTTGAAACTTTTTATTTTAGAATGTGCCTTCTTTCCATCTCGTGTTGAATGCAGCCTATTGCTAACACATTGCAGAAGTGAGCTTTTTTTTTTCTTATAATGTTGTGTCCAACTGTAGTGGAACGCAACTGCTGGAGCCTGTTCACTTTATTTATTTTGGATTGTAATGCCCAGGAACAAAGTTTATGCATACACGACGCAGCGGTAGTTTCAGCGGCCTTGAGTCCTAACCGAGACAATCGCGAGTGTCGCGATTGCAAATCTCTTTCTCTTCATCTCTCTTGACTGTAGACCCTCTACACACAGGTGCACATACTCTAACTACTATTGTAACGTCTCTCTGCGCGGAGACGAAGCCAACCGGGCAAGTCAGTCAGTCTCTCTAGGAATGAACAGCTTTAAATGGGCAATATGAGTAAAAGTTCCATCTTGGGCAGAACGTCGGCCATTGGCATGAAGGCAGGCAACACGGTAAGTCATGTCGCTTATGCGGGTGAGGATGACATAGGGTCCAACATAATGTACCAGCAGTTTTTCACATAATCTGCGTTTCCTCACTGGAGTCCAAAGCCATACCAAGTCGCCGTGTTCATATGGGACGTGTTGTGGTCGTCTGTCGAACTGCACCTTCGCGCGTTGTTGCGAAGCAAGAGTGCGTAAATGGGTGAGTCACTGGGCCTCTTCTGCACGACAGATAGTCTCAAAAATGCAGGGGTCATCGTGGTCTAAAATCAGTAAAAATGTGTCAAGTGTATAGCGTGGCGGTCTAGCATAAAGAAGAAAGAAGGGACTGTAGCCGGTAGTCTCATGCTGTGCAGTGTTGAAGGCATAAGCTACGAAAGGCAGAACATCGTCCCAATTTTTGTGCTCCGATGACACATACATGGACAGCATGTTCGTGAGAGTTCTGTTTGTATGTTCGATGAAACCATTCGTTTGAGGGTGATAGGGCGTAGAGGGTCCAAAACTTGAAACGTATAGACGAAGCATCTCTTCAATGACGTCCACCATGAACTGGCGTCCACGATCACTAATAGTGACTTTTATAGGTCCGTGTCGAAGAATTACTGAGCATAGCATGAAGAGGCATACGTCACGTGCAGTAGCCGATGGTATAGGGGACGTCTCGCAGTATCGGGTAAGATGATCGGCACACACGATTATCCAACGATTTTCTTTGGAGGACCATGGAAAGAGACCAAGAAGGTCAATTCCAGCTTTCTCAAATGGAGTTCTCGGAGGTGGCACAGGATGTTGCCTTCCAGGAGGAGTACTTGTAGGACGCTTTCGATGTTGACATTCATTGCAGCTTGAAATATACTGTCACGACGTCAAAACAGAGGTCTTGCTGCAGAGATGGAGACACCAGGGGCAGGTCGGTCTTTTTAATAGAACGCGCAAGTGAGTTCTTCTTTTTCGTCCATTTCATAGTTCTTCATAGCACATGCACAACTGCCATCGTCTTTCTTGAGCAAGCACTTGACATTTGCCTCCCTCTGAAAGAGGCATCGTCCCGATGCACAACTTAGGCGCTCTACCAGGCGTATGAAGTGGTTGCACCAACACGGTAACTGGGAGCTAATTAACTCGATAAATACGGTTTCATACGCACGACGTGCACAGCTTTGGGTAAATGCTTTTGGCGCTTAGAACTACAGTCAGTGTCGGGAACAACTTTGTAGTTCACGTCGTTCAAGCGTCGCGTGACACTGTATGGGCCAAGGTAGCAGTTTCTTGGCAGTTTCTTAGTAGAATCTTAGCAGTTTCTCAGACAGTCCATGTCGACGTATCGGAATCCAGACCCAAACCTTGTCGCCTGGTGTGTAGCTGAAGAACTTGGGTTGGGGGTCGTACCATTGTGCATCTTGATGCTGTTAATGACAGATGCGCACACGCGCGAGCCGTCTGGCTTCCTCGGCGTGCTGAGTGAATTCTTCGGCATCTACATGGATGTCGTCACACTCATGCGGCAACATGGTGTCCAACGTTGTCGTGACTTCGCGACCACAGATCAGACTGAACGGTGTCATTCCAGTGGTTTCTTGTCGAGCGGTATTATAGGCAAAGGTAACGTACGGCAATATCTGATCCCAGTTTTTATGTTCCGTGTCAACGTACATGCTGATCATGTCTGTGAGGGTCCTATTGAGGCGCTCCGTCAGTCCGTTTGTCTGTGGATGGTATGCAGTTGTTCTCCGGTGAGTGGTACCGCTGAGTCTGAGAACCGACTCCAAAAGCTCTGCGGTGAAGGCAGGTCCTCTGTCTGTTACCACTGCTGTCGGAGCGCCATGCCGAAAGACGATGTGTTCGATGAAGAACTGAGTGGCCTCTGCTGCTGTGCCACGCTGCATAGCTTTAGTCTCCGCATAACGGGAAAGGTAATCGGTAACCACGATTATCCATCTGTTCCCTGTTGTGGAAGTTGAAAGGGGCCCAGGAAATCCATGTCAATCTGGGTGAACGGCTTCGCTGGTGCTTCGACTGGATGTAAAAGACCAGCTGGCTTGCTGGGAGGTGCTTTGCGCCTTTGACAGGCGGTTCAAGTTCGCACATGATGGTTAACAGCAGCGGGTAACTTTGGCCACTAGTACTTGCATCGTAGTCGGCACAATGTTCTGGTGTAGCCTAGATGACCAGAAGTTGCTTCATCATGGTACGCTTCCATAATTTCTTTTCGAAGAGAGGTAGGCACGACGAGCAAGTGTGGGTTGCCGGTTGGTGAGAAGTTTTTCTTATAGAGAACATCGTTTCGCAAGCAAAAAGATGGCAGTCCTCTACCAAATAACCGCGGCACGTCTTTACATCGTCCTTCTAAATATTCAATGAGTGGTAACAGCTTGGGGTCACTGCGCTGCTCTCGTGCAATAGTGGCCGTGTTGACAACTCCCAAGAATGCCACGTCTATGTTTTCGTCATCATGAGCGACAGTCTCCACTGGCGACCGTGAGAGACAGTCGGCATCGGTGTGCCTCTTCCCAGATTTATAGATGATGGTCATGTCGAACTCTTGAAGCCTTAGGCCCCAGCGCGCCAAACGGCCATACGGATTTTTAAGGTTGGTGAGCCAGCACGTGAGTGATTGTCGCTAACAACCTTGAAGGAGCGGCCGTACAAATATGGATGAAATTTAATGACCGCCCACACCACGGCGAGACACTCCTTCTCGTTAGTCAAGTAGTTCTCCTCCGTGCGAGAGAGAGTTCTGCTGGGGTAGGCTATTACTCTTTCACAGCCGTCTTCCCACTGCACCAGAACGACACCCATACCTACATTGCTGTTATCAGTGTGAAGTGCAGTAGGGGCTTCCTGGTCGAAGTGCGCAAGGACTGGAGGTGTTTGCAGGCGTTGTCGTAGTTCATTTAATGCCATTTGCTTTTGTTCACCCGAAAAGAAAGGGATGTCCTCACGTGTGAGTCGTGTCAATGGCGCTGCAATAAACGAAAAGTCCTCGATAAATCGTTGGTAATAGGCACACAACCCTAAGAAGCATCTCACAGCCTTTTTGTTGCGTGGTGCAGGAAATTGCGCTACTGCGTCTCTTTTGGTCGGGTCAGGTCGAACACCTTCGTGACTGACGACGTGGCCTAGGAAGTCGAGTTCGTTGAAACCAAAATGATATTTTTCTGGTATTAAAGTAATGCCGGCCGAACAAATGGCATGACGCAGCCGATCGAGTGAATCGTCTATGCGAGGCAGTGGATAGACGTCTTTCTTCGTAAGAGAGAAATAACTTTATTGGGTTAAAAAAAAGGAGGGGTTTAGGAGCTAGATGGGTGGGGCCCCATGTCCAAGGCTCCACTGGCTTGCGCCGCCTGCCGGACGTGGTCCAGGAGTGCTAGTTGCATCTCCGGGTTCGAGCTAGCGAGGAGTGCCTCCCACTGCTGCAAAGAGTTTTCCATTCTATACTTACGCTGTAAGCGATCGAGTTCATTTGGCCATTCAGCACAACTCCACGATATGGTAAAGGGTCAGTGGCGAGTCGCGACACCACGGACAATCGTGCCCATACAAAGTTGGATGAATTTTGTGCAGTCGTAATAAATTTGGATAAACTCCCGTTTGAATTTTATGGAGGTCTATGGTGTCTTCCCTTAATAGATTTGTGGGGGGCGCTATATTTCTGCCGCGTGCATAGCTGGTGAGCCAGAGGCCCTCGCGGAGCCATCAGAGTCGGGTCGCTTTCCTCCTCCGAAAGCCGTCGTTGCTGGGTAGTAGTAACAGCGAGAAAGGCTGCTGCTCCGCTCGGTTCGTGAGTGCTCCAGCTAGAGTGTCCGCCCTCTCGTTACCCTCTAGGCCTGCAT